CAATTCCTCCCACAACCCATTCAATCGGAGCTTACAACCACCATTCAATCGGAGCTTACGGCCAGATCGTTGGAGTCAACGGGTAATTCCTTCGGCTTTGAAATTTTCTCCATATTTACCGATATAGATATAAAAATTTTATAATTATATAGTTACATTGTATCATTTCGTATTAAATAGTATTTATTTTTTAATGCTTGAAATCTATACTGGAAATCTATATAATTAAAAATAGAAAAAAAATTATGAAATTTGAATAATTTTTCAGAAATTAAATACTCTAAATTAGAAATAAATTTAAAAAACCAGGAAATTAAAGAAGACACGGGAAAATTTTGATTATGAAATTTAAAATAATTTTTCAGAAAAAAAAAATAAAACATCCGAAATTTGAAATTCTGAAATTTTCATGAGAAGTTTTTTTTTCAAAAAAAGAATTACAAACTCGAATAAAAAACATTATAGTTCTCAAAATTAAAATATAATTAATCTATATAGTTATAAAAGATTTTTTCGGAAATAAATACAAAAAACACTGGAAATTAATACAAAACACTGGAAATAAAAAATTATGCAAACTTATTCTCACAAAATTTTGGAAAATAAAAACAAACTTATTTTCACAAAATTTTCGAAAAAAAAACCTGGAAAACTGGAAATCAAACAAAAAAAACTACAAATCAAACAAAATATTCGCAAATTAAAATAAATTTCTGATAATTAAATTAAATTTTCCGAAATTTACAAAAATAAAGGTCCAAAAAAAATTATTTTCACAATTATTTAAAAAAAATTATTTTCACAAAATTTTCGGAACAAAACCGGAAAACTGGAAATCATACAAAAATAATAAAAGGAAATCAAACCAAATTTTCGGAAATTAAAAAAAAAATCTGAAAATAAACTTATTTTGACAAATATTCAAAAAAAAAATTATTTCCACAAAATTTTAGGAAAAAAAAATGGAAAACTGGAAATCATACAAAAATAAAAAAAATGGAAATCAAACCAAATTTTCGGAAACTAAAAAAATTGCTGAAAATTAAAATAAATGTTCATTAACCAATTAAGCCTTGACTACTAAAATTTAAAAATGGAAACAAAAATAAGAAGACCAATTTAAGATTCAGCCACAATATTTCAGTATAATTTGACGGTCAATCACCATAATTACACGGCAATCACGATAATTACACGGCAATCACCAATTAAGCCTTGACTTCTAAAATTTAAAAATGTAAACAAAAATAAAAAGATTCATCTGTTACAATGTCTAATCTAATATAATAATTACCGGTAAGTCAAAGATTTATTGCTTATTAATCCTAATCCTAATTAACTAAAAATTTCATTAATTGTCGTCATTATTTTTGTTATTAATTTATGTTGATTGATTTTGTATAATGTTAATTGATAGTCTTTTCATATTGTATATAGAATGTGTACTATACATATATATTTATTTTTAATCCATCCTATTATATAATATCCTTTATCTTTTATATTTGTTTAAAAGGACATTTAACTATCGTATTTTATATTGTGATGACCTTTGGTGTGAAATTTCTCCACAACTTTTAGCTAATTTCACATACTCTAATAAAAATTCATTCAAAATCCAAATTCTTCCATTCACATGCCATACTAATTGAGTAAATTGACTACAAATCTAATCCAATATAATGAGGAGCCTCCAAATCCCCAACCCAGGGTTAAGATTAAGGATGGGTTGCATAACCTAGATTTTTAGATTATATGTGTGATCTTATGAGAGAATGCATATTAAATACCAATAACCAATTTTTATTTAGTGCATTTCATTTCTGCATTAGCGCCAAATCGAATTTTTAACCATGTATTTTTACAGGTTGTGTTACGTTGGGAGAACAAATTGTATTACTTCTACTTGAAGCAATAGATCCGCGAACAATCAAACCGAAGACTTATGCTTATTCATAAAAACATTGCAAGACACAAATATTTAAATTCTTTACTGTTTGTATTTAGTTTTTTAATTAATTTAATTTAAATAAATTTACATTTTAGATGATTTTATATGTTAGCTATTTTTTTGTTCTTCTAAATGCTACTCCCTCTGTCTTTTTAAGTGCCCCTTTTACTAAAAGCGGCCGTTTTTTTTAATAAGTGTCCCATACCATATTTGGAAAATTGCTTACATTATTTATTATTTCTCTCTCTTCCTTTTAACCCCACCATCATTTTTATAATATTTCTCTCTACTCACATTATTTTTAGTGGTCCCCATTTATATTTCTCTCTCTTATTTTTCTAAATCATACTCACTCACATATTATTTTATTCCTTTATATAAAACTATGTACCCATGGGTGCGGGGCACTTAAAAAAAAGGGAGGTAGTTTTTGTGAATATATGTATTTCATAATTTAAAATCTCATCCTTAGTTATAACCCGTTCATTAGCACGGGCACCTACTAGTGATACGGTTTATTTTGGTTAGTATTGTAGTTTGTTAGATGTTTAAGTGCTCTTGTGTTACTTTTGGCAATCTAGTAAAAGTGACCCTAATCAATGATAAAAGTAACCTTAATCAAAGACAAGTTTGATACTTACTAAATTCACTAAAGTTCATAAAATCATAACTAATGATATAGGTGACCCTAATTAATAAAAATGTGACCCTACTAAGATGGTTAAAGTGATGACTTCAATTAATGTAGTACTAATTAAAAATAACACTGAACCTTATTAAGGCAAAAATGATCCTAATTAGGTTAAAAGTGACCCTTTTTGGAATTAAAGTGACCCTTTATGGTAAAAGTTACCCTAACCGAGACAAAAGTGCCTATATTAGGGGTAAAAGTTACCCTAATCGAGACAAAAGTGCCCCTATTAGGGGGTAAAAGTGACTCAATCCGGGATAAAAGTGACCTTAATCAAGGGCAAAAGTTATCCAAACCGTGGACAAAAATGACCCTAACTAGCGTAAAAGTGATCCTAATTAAGAATAAAAATTCCTAACTATGGATAAAAGTGACGTTATTCATTTTGGAAAATTTAACAATAATGCACCAACCTTTGGTAGGTTCTCCGAAATTGCACCAACCTTTAAATCTTCCAATATTGCACCAACCTTGCTTTCACACTCTTCTTCAGAAATGCACCTAACAGGTCACCTTACCGGCTATACTTGGTAAAGTGACACATGTCAGACTCTCATTGGTTGAATTTTTTTTTAAATTTCTGATTTTTTTTTAAAAAAGTCTAATTTTTTAAAACAATTTTATAAAAGGAAATTTTGAGTTTTACCACCAAAAAATTTCAACAAATTGTTTTTTACCACCTACTATTTTCAAACTTTTATTTTACCACCAAATAAAAAAATTAAAGTTGTTTTTTACCACCTTTACCCAATTTCGGTGAATGAAAAGTGTTGTGGGGCCCATCCTTTTTAATTTCCCTCCAATTTTATTTACACCCACCCCGATTTATTTCTTCTGTTGATTAACCCCAACCAACTTCATTTAATTCCTCTAACTTTCTCACCTTCCTCTCATTTAGTACTCTGAATTTCACTCCTCTTCTCACTGTTCTGACCCTAAATTTTTTTTTCCCAATTGAATTTTGTTGTTGATGTTGGAGTAACGAAGAGGTGGCACCACAGAAACCCTACAACTCAGCTTCAATTCGTCACTTTCAACAAGGGGGGACCTAAAGTGTTGGACTTTACTGATATAGATTCGAGATTCTGACAAAGCAAGGTACTTTTAGCATCTTTTAGCATCTTTACTGTAGTTAGTGTGTGTGATTGTGGTGCAATTGTTGATTTTATATGCTTAATATGGGGTGTTGTGGACTTTGTGTTGATTAACCCTAAAATTCGAATCTTAGACATGTGTGGATGCATTATGCTGTGATTACTGTATAATTAAAAATTAGGGTTATATATTGTTGGTATGTGGATTTACCATTGAGTTTGTGGTCAAGCTTTGACCTGATTGATAAATTAAGTGTTTAAAGACGTGTTTGCATTGAACACTGTGTAAAGTATCAGTTACATTAATTAATGAATTATTTGGGACTAAATTGAGTTATGTTATGTTTATGTGTTGTGTGTGTAGCAGAATGAACAAAGTCCAACTTAAACTGACATTGGGTGGTGCTTTTATACCTTCTTTAATTGGGAAAAAAAAAAAGAAAAAGAGGCTATTAAGCTGGGATGGGGGATGGGTATACTGGAAGAAAAATGTGAATCCCTCCAAGATTGATGTGCATTTTATAAGAGAAGCTGCTGTCCATGGGTTTGTGTCTGTTAATGTACAAGTCCCTACTAAGTTTAGTTGCTGGTATAGACAAAAGGGGAGGACATTTACAACTAGTAAAAGGGAGTTGGTGAACAGTGAAGAGATAAAAGGATTGTTAGATACAGTGAACAGGGAGGGAGTTATTGAGGTGTTTGTCACAAGTGGGGAACCAATCCAGGCCACTCCCATTACACCTTTTCATATTTATGATGGGAATTCTTTGAGTGCAAAAGAAAGAAATAAGTTGAGTAAAGATCCATTTGTGCCTAAATTATAGCCCAACCCAGTTACTTCCAGCCCAACAATAAAGGCCCTTACTGAAGAACCACTTAGGAGAAGCCCTAGATTATCTGTAAAAGGTAGGGATAAGGTTGATGCTGATGATGCAGCAGCTAAGAGGTTTAGTGCTACAGATAAGGGGAAGGGAAAACTAGTTGAAGAGGAGGTGGAAGGTAGTGAGAGGAATACAGTAAGTAGGGAGTTGTTTAAGGATGGTGAAGGGGACTATAATCTTTCAGATTTGTTTGATAGTAAGCTTAGTGACCCTGATGTAGATTGGAGTGAAGGAGAAGAAGAGTTTTATGATGCTGTTGATGATGATGAGTGGGTGAGACAGAATACAGAGTTGGTGAACATGGAAGTGATTAGGTGTTTCAGTGTAGAGAAACTTGGCAAATCAAGTCACTGAGATTGAAGCATCTTTGTATGAGAACAAAGATGAATAAGAAAGTTACAGCTGAGTCCTTAGCTGATAGATACTTGGAGGAGTTTAGAAGCAATCCAACTTGGAAGATTAGACAAATACAGGAGAGAGCTTTGACTGATTTGGGAATTAAAGTGAGCTACTTTAAAGCTTGGTTGGCTAGGTGTAGGGCAAAGCTAATTATTTTTTGCTCTTCAGCTGAGCAGTATGCAAAGGTATGGGACTATGCTAAGGCATTAGTGGTGCACAACCCTGGGACTGGTTGTGTCGTTGTTGTAGATGGGATAGAGCAGCCTGAACCCCCTCTTTTTTTGAGAATGTTTGTGTGTCTTGCACCATTAAGGGATGGTTTTGTTAGTGGATGCAGACCAATTATTGGAGTAGATGGCTGCCATCTTAAGGGTGCTTACCCTGGCCAAATTTTAGTTGTTGTAGCTAAGGATGGTAATAACCACATATTTCCACTAGCATGGGCAACTGTGGAAATTGAGAACAAGGACACATGGTCATGGTTCCTTGAGGCATTAGTAGACAGCATTGGAGGTAAAGATGAAGGTGAAGGGTTGACTTTTATGTCTGATAGGCCGAAAGTAAGTTGATAAATTTCCAGTTTGTAATCTCCATTATGTTTTTTTAGTTTGAGATAGGTGTAGCATACTAATTATTGTGTAACTTTTTTTGTGTAAATGCAGGGCCTGCTAGAAGCATTTGAGAATGTTGTACCTAAGGCTGAGACTAGGTACTGTGTTAGACACATCTGGTCTAACTTCAAACAACAATTCCAAGGATCTCTATTCAAAGAGCTATTTTGGAATGTAGCTAGGGCTTACACTCACGTATAATAGTTAAATCCTCCTAGTTTTGTTGATTGTGAGTTTCTGGTTTTGGTTAGTTCCATTTGATTTTTACTGTGTGTGTCTTAATTTAGTATTATAATGCATATGGTCAGACTGATTTTGAAGTGGCTATGGAGTCTATAAACTTTTTATCTGAAGAAGCCTATGATTACCTAGCAAATATCCCCCCTCAACATTGGTCCAGACATGCATTCTCCCCAACATGTAAGTCAAACATGTTGTTAAACAATTTGTGTGAGACTTTTAACGCTGTTATAAGGGATGCTAGGGATAAGCCAATCTTAACACAAATGGAATGGCTTAGAAGATGCATGATGAAGAGGACCAATGATAAATGGATGGCAGCCTCTGAATGGGAAGGGTTGTGTGTTCCTTATGTGAAAAAGGTGTTTGATGGGTTGGAAAAGTATGCAAGGACATGCACTGTCCAGTCAGGTTGGGGTGAGCTTTATGAAGTGGAGTATAAGGATGATACATGTGTTGTTAACCTTGAAGCAAGGACATGTACTTGTTACAGATGGGATTTAACAGGATTGCCCTGTGTCCATGCTTTTGCTGCTTTGCTGGACAAAAGGGTTGATCCAGAGCTTTATGTCCACCCATACTACCACATAAAGACTTACCTGGCTGCCTATGAGACTCCCATTCAGCCCATGCCTGGAGCCAAGCATTGGGATAAGGTGCATATGAGAGAGCCTATGCCTCCAGCTTTTAAGGTCCAACCTGGGAGATCAAAAGCTAAAAAGAGGAAGCTTGAACAAGGGGAGGGGAGTTCTGCACCTAATTCAGAGAACAAGAAAGTAAAGAGAAGGAATCAATGCAAGAATTGTGGGGGTTTTGGCCATTATGCCAAAACTTGTTCTCTAGATCCTGCCCCTACACCAGTTCAAGTTCAGAACACAGCACCATCAGGAGGTAGGCCAGCATTGGACAACCCTTGGATGAAGGAACAGAGGAGGAAGAGTGAATTGAGAGCTATGAAAAAGGTAAATTCACTTACACTATTTTTGATACTTAGATTGTCATGTGTACTGTACCTATTTACTGATTATGAATGTATGTATACAGAGTGCAGCATTAGGAGCTACTGCAGGACCCAATAGCATTGGAAACAAGAAGTTTCCTCAAGAATTGGCAAAAGAAAAAGCAGCTGAGGCATCTTCTGCTTGTAATGCATCTCAGCCAACTGAGCAAGTGCAACCTTCTGCAATGGAAGCATCGGCAAGCCAGCCCATGACTAGGAGCAGAACAAAGCTTACTGAAGCTTCCCACACCTCAGCCTCTCAGCCTCTTCCCAGACAGCAGAATACCAGGCACAAGTTATCAGTATCAAAGGGTTTACATCAGCATCAGTTCATGCACAAGGATGATATGTGGGAACTTGGCCATGATATGTAATTTACTGCCTTAAATTTGGTTTACCGTAGACAGAAAAGTGTTTTTTTTATCAGTTTGCTTAAGTATTTGAACAACTAAGGGTGGCAAGTCCATCATTTTGTGCACTTAACTATTTGGAATGAACAATATTAACTAGGGCAGGAACCCTGATTTTGTAGTATGTTGAACCACTTCTAAAATATAATCTGATCAGCACCTGTTTATAACATTTGCATATGTAATTGGATTCAATTATTTTCATTTCAGTGCATAACCAAATTTTCATTTCATTTCATAACCAATACAACAATAACACAACATCCTTATAACAATTTCACAATCAATTGTTCCATTCCTTACTTCCTAATAAGCATACCTAAAACTAAACCAACACAACAAATAACAACAAACACAACAAACAGATTCATAGATGATGTCTTCCTGCCTTCAACCTCCTGTGTCATCTTTTTCCTATCAGAGCTAAGGGCCTTGCATTTCAATTTCAAGCTATCAATCTCATTCAGCAAGCATCTTCTTTGTCCACAAAAATCATCAACTTCTCTCTTTAAGTCAGCATGCTCACCTTCATCAACTTCTTATCCAATAGCAAGTTGTTAATTACTTCAGTTTGCCAACTTGTGCCATCTGGTTGATCAATCCACTCAAATGATTTACAGCCCCTTGATTCAGTCACTGGATCATAGAATTTGCAAGATCTAAACTTCCTCCCAGGATTTTCCCTAGTCCAAGAAGTTAACCTTGCAAAGGGTACTCCACATTGGCATTTCCTCTCTTTTAAAGGAGAAAAACTTAAGGAAGACATTCCTTCTGCAAAATGACACTTAGCAACTTCAATAGTAGTACATAATCACCTTAATTAGCTTTCCATACACCTAATTTCTATTAACAATCAGTAACTCATAAAACCCCCAATTTCAAATTTAATATGAACCCTAATTTAATAAAAACTGAATGTGGGTTTCAATTGCTAACTTGTTTTAACCAAATTCTGGATTAATAACCTCTACATGAACGAATGAACAAATTAATTGAATCAATCCTATTAATTAATCAACTAATTAAACTTGTGCATGACATACCTTAACTGCTTCAATTCCCATTGCTAAAGCAAATTCGTTTTCAAATCTTTAGATAACTGATGATTTATGGCTGATTGCTTGATGTTATTGCAGTACATTGAGAGAATTGGTATAAATCGAATTTTTGGAACAACAAATGATGAACTAGGGGTTTTATAGGATAGAAGATCGTGATTGAAAAGGGTAAAAATCAAAAAGTATCCACTTTAGTGGGCCCCACAGCACTTTTTAGTCACCGGAATTGGGTAAAGGTGGTAAAAAACAACTTTAATTTTTTTATTTGGTGGTAAAATAAAAGTTTGAAAATAGTAGGTGGTAAAAAACAATTTGTTGAAATTTTTTAGTGGTAAAACTCAAAATTTCCTTTATAAAAAACAAAAAAAAAAAAAAACTAAACCCCATACGACAGCCACCGTACCCCTCCCCTTCCTTCACCCTACACCCTAGACTAACCACCGGAAGCCGGCGGACAGCCCTCCTGACACCATAAAAAATTCGGCCGTCACCTATCAAACCCATCAGCAGCTGGAAACTTTACGAATTTTCCTTACAAATAAATTCGATTCTTAAGAGAATGGGGAATGCATCATTAACATTTCCAATAGAAGGAGAAATATTATGTCTTCAATCAGACAGGGTAATTCAAACATAAAACAACCAAGTGAATGATATAACCAATGACTGAAGTGAATCATTCTTCATCTAGGTTGGAGGAAAAACGATAAATCTTCCGCCTAAAATTACAATAAGATCCATCATGTCGATCTATAAACAAAATTTCTAAGACATATTACTTCATTCTACCCTGAAAATTAATACAGTACTAATATAATAGCTTATACAGTTCTCACCCAGCCTTTATGAGATTTTGAGCCATTGAAGATCCTATGATTCCTAGACCAAAAAACCCAACACGACCCGAAAATTCATCTGCAATAATACACATTGATTATAGAACCTAACCTAAGGGGTCGCCGGAGGGATGTTCGAGTTGGTGATCGGCGCTGGGTTTGAGTTTGGCCGCCAAAACGGGGAAGGGGGATTGATCATGTTAGCTGTAGCAGCGTTCCATCTTCCGAAAGGGGGATTAAAAACGGGGAAGTAAACCAAACTAAAAGAAGTATGTCCTGAAAATTAAACCTCATGTGTTGCTGGTACTCTTCTTGCAGATTGTCAATGAATTTCTTCACTGATTCTTTGTCAATTGATGGATTGATCATGTTAGCTGTAGCAGCGTTCCATCTTCCGAAAAATTCAGTGAATCCTTCCCCCTTCTTTTGTTTCAGGAGGCCAAGTTCCCTTAAGTCATGCTCAGGTGGAAGGTTTTGCTTGTACCTTTGAAGGAAAAGTTGACAGATTCCTTCCCATGTTTTAGTGAGTTTGGATTCTTGGCACAGAACCAAAGTTGAGGAGTGTGATCAAGAGACATGGGAAATAAGGTGGGGAATAGTTCCTGTCAATTTTCTTGATGATCATGACAGTTTCAAAAGCATTCAAGTGGTAGAGAGGATTGTCAGTGGCTTTGAACTTTGGGATATAAAGGGTGTTGAACTTGTCAGGAAGGATGGTTGGATCGACATTGATTTCTTTGTGGATTTGCACATAAGGGTTCGATCCTTTGGAGAGTTGGGCAACCTTCCCCTCGAGGGTCTTAATGATTTCTTGGGACTTTTAGCTTCTTGGACTTGAAGGGTAAGAGCTTGCATTGCTTCGGTCATGTTCTTGTACTGCTCCTTCATCGCGTTAACTTCCTCGACAGTTGCCATCCTTTTCTTAGCTAGTCTTCTTTCTAGTGACACTGGCTCCCTAGCCCAAGTACTGAAATGGAGAGTGGAAATAGTTTTAATGCCTTGACCAAACAACTTACTCAATTACACGACACAAAACTCGATTTAATATGCATCCAAGAATGGGAAGTATGTATGGAGGAAGAAGAGTATGGAGAAAATGGTATGAATATGGAAAGGGTATATTGGAATGTATGTATGTATGTATGTATGGAAAGATATGGAAAAGGAAGGGATGTATGTGGAAAGTTCATGAATGTATGTGTGAGGTATATATGTCAGAATAGGTATGTAATGTATGGACATGTATAGAAAAGGATGTATGGGAAAATGTGTATGTGGAATAAGAGTATGAATGGAAAAAGGTATGGGAAAGGAAAGGATGTATGGAGAAATTTCCAGGAATAGGATACCCTCACTTGGAATGACGGCATATGTGACTCATGCATGGATCTACTATACGATCATGGACAAGAGGTGCACGACTCGATTACAAAGTGTGTGCAATGACTCGACTAGAATGTGATTATGTTAATTAACCAAGACTCATGATATGATCATATGTCTAGACATTATGCCAGGACCAAATTGCATGGAAGACCAAAACATAAATGATTGATTCAAATTATTAGCCCAATTTTAGTCTTTGTGTTAATTACTGTGTGAAAATGGTCCATTGGCAAACGTTAGTCACATGTCAAGACTAGTAAAGAGAAGACTAGAAAGACCCGAGACTTCCTATTCATAGTTATGAGAAAAGTGAGACTCGTGTGTTCATAGTACATGTGTTTCAATGGCTTTTGTATAACCATGAATCTAGACTTCAGACTCGAAACTTTCGTGACGACTCATGAGAAAATGGTTGAACCAATGTGAATTATTGGAACTTTCACAAGCCATGACCATTAATAGGATCACAACTCATGGCATAGACATAAGTCTATTTTCCAACCATTGTTCATAGGGTAAGGACCTAAAGTCATCTAAGGCTAGTTGATTTTAGACTCTTGGTCAGACGTGAGCAAACTTCTTAGTCTTTGGTTAGTTTAATCAATCCACACAAAAGAAAACCTGCATGGGTTAGTTATACCATCACAATATGCTCAAGTAGGAACGTAATTCATAAATGAGTTCGCAACCTAACCATGGCTCTATGTTCTACTAAGGTCGGTTTGTGGCTAGCCAAGGAGGGTACCATAGATAGTCCTGACGAGCGGAAGCTGACCCATTATTAGGTCAGGTTCGACTTAAAGGGGACCTCCATGTGAACTTACGTTCATTGCTATGGCTTGGTAAAGTCAGACACCTTACGCGCAACCAGAAGAGGTTGGACCATAGGTGATAGCTTCCCGATGGGTTGACCATACATAAGCATTTCGTATGGATTTCAGAATTTCGGAAAATATGATTCCACGAGTAAGGTTGGGAACCCGCACGAAGATTTTGGGAAAAATTTTCTAAGACGTGACATAACGCCAGAGCCACAAGCCCAACACCAGCGTTATGGGCTTAACGTCGGGCGTTAGACTTAACGCCAGGCGTTAAGTCTAAAGTTCCGGTGTTTAGCCTAGCGCCTAGGCGTTGGACTTCTGGAAATGTTGTCTTGTCCCGGCTATGTTTTGTAGGACCAAAAATCGTTCGTAGTGGTTCGCACGGTTAATCCCTTCGTCGTGGTAAATTCCGAACACTCCTACAAAAAGTGTCTCCTAAAATTATCGTATGATTGCAACAATAATTTTGATGCAATATGGCACAATATTAATTGGAAATGCGAATAATCGTTAATGGATCTTTCAAGTCTCATCCACTCAGCCCAATTAACCACTAAAAAAATTGGTGGTCAATTAGGAATCCTCCCCAGCGGAGTCGCCAAAAACTGTAGGGGATTTTCGTCTTCCTACAATTACGTCGCGCTTTTAAGGCGCGGCGGCTCACCCAGGCTAGTCGGGATTTAAAGAAATGGAGTCGCCACCAAATTTTTGAGGAATTTGGAAACCGTTAAACCGTTCACGATTGCAAAGGTTACACCCCTATCCGCCCTTTTCCCGTTTGAAGGTCAAAGGGGTGAGTTGTGCCCGGATCGTGGTACGAAACCAGTATGCGGGTTCGGGGATGATGGTACGAAGTCGGGTTC